TAGTATTAGTTAATAAACAAAATATTTATATGATAATCATCCATATTTAATTTCCTTATTCATACAAAAATGTTAGTTAAATTATAATACAAAAAACATTTTCTTTTCATAAATTTCAGCCTAGACCCGACTAGACCTATTGATTAGTAAAAGGAATGAAATGTATTATATAAAATGAGAATCATCCATATTTAATTTAAATATTAATACCCAAATATAAATTCATAAGAATTGCATACAAATAATTTAAAGTAATTTATAGTCAGAAATAAAATCGATTTTTTTCTTTTTCAAAGTTTACTCGAAAGGACGTCAATCTAACCATCTTCTTGGGATGATAGTGCAGCACATGGATGCATGTCCTGGGCAGCAGGATGTGTGCATTTGCTGTGCTTTTGCTCTTGTTAAAAGGATTCATTAAATTGACGTCGCAGCAGCAGCAGCAGCAGCAGCAGTTGATGCATCTGAGCCACTCAGCTGACGGAAGCGGAAGCGGCGGCCAAAGGACTGGCCATAACTTAAAAGGCAACCGGCACTGGCTCCTCGTGGATGGCCAACAATTAACAGCATAAATTTAAATATGCAATTAACGAAACAGCTTGAGGCTGGCAAAACAAAAAAAAAAAAAAAATAGTTGAAAAAAAGAAATGCAAAAAGAAGGCAAATAAAGTGCAGGAGCAGCAGCTACAACAAAGGCTGACGCAGCAGTGGTTTGGGTATGCCGAATGGGAGACGATCTAATACCCTGTATTATAATTGACTTGATATGTTTTGTGGCAAAGACTTTGCATTTCATATATAAAATATTAGATTTTAATGTTTAGAGTAACAAAATTTTTGTTTTATGATTTCATGTCAATGTTTAAAGTAACAAAATTTTTCTTAAACAAAAAAAAATAAATAAATAAATAAATAAAATAAAATAAATATAAATAAAAATAAAATAATACAAAAAAAATAAGATTAAGGTTTAAAATATTATAGAAAATAAATATTAACAAAAATAAATCGAAATTATAACAAAAATAATTATTTAAAATATTATAGACATAAATTTATTTATTTATTTATAGGAAACTATTGCTATGATTTACGCTAGACTGTAGACTATTTAACTACATTTTATTTACTAAAAATAACCGTTAACGAATATTATTATTTTATCTACACTCCATACATACATACATACCCAATAACATATCCAAATCGGCCTAAAAAGGTATGAGTCCTTGAAATAATAATGGCTTATAATATTGCTTTGTTTAGAGGCTTTTATTATAGCTATAGTCATGCTATTGTGAAAGGTTTCATATACATGACTCGATGCAGCCAAAGTTCTTTCCAGCAGCTGATTTTCTATGGCTTGTATAAAATCTGCTCGTTGAAGGTTTCACTCCTTAAGTGATTTGTATTACATCTTTGCCTATTGAGCATATATGGAGAGAGCAATATTCGCTCTTATCAATTCACTATATATATAAGTGAAAATGCTATATATATTTATTATATATACTTATAAAATGAGCGCTCGTCGTTAAATAAGTTCTCAAGACTTTCCATCAAGGAGCTCATTTTATTAGATTTTTCAGTAGTTACAGTCGAGTCTCGATAATTCGAAATGGCAAGGGGATCAGTTGTTATTTTTTCGCTTTACACAGAAATTGAAATTATCGATGATTATCGGGAACGCATTTTTTTCAAGGGGCTAGGACTTTTTCGATTTATCGCAATTTCGATTTAGCGGTGTACAATTTATCGACATCCAACTGTATCATAAGTAGTTGAACAAGTATATTTCTAGAAAATGACATGACCATTGTTTAATCTCTATAAGTTTCATATAGTTGAAGATCTAGTGACATACATGAACGTATATATAAATCAATATAAGCTTCTTTTGGCAACTGTTGTGTGAGTAGTTTACTTATTTGCTATGTACTAAATAAAATATTTGATAGCTACATTTTTAAGACAGTTATATAAGCGTATTTGGCTCCAATATGATAGAACTGCTTTGAAAATAGTCTTGAAAACAAACAAAACTTTGATGATATCTTTTTTAATGAATGTACAAAACTTTTTTCGAGTTTTGTATATTTTTTCACTCAATATGTTTATCCCAATACCAATACCAAATGCTCTCTGCCCTGCATATACCTTTGCTCTGCAATTGTTGATGTGGGGTATACAAATGTTTGCGCTGGCTATGGCGACAATGAAAGCCAAAGGTCATTTTAACGCACGCACACATACACAAGCACACACACACACACTCACACCCATTTAAGCAGTGAAATGCATTTGATTGTTTGTGTTTTTCATTTTTTATTTAAAAATAAAAGAACACACACAGACACACGCACACAGAACCACACACTCACACTCGCGTACTACAAACGACGTGCGAAAAAAACTCATACAGAATTTTCCGCTTTATTTACGCGTTGGCCAGCAACAATACTGGTCATGTGATACCAGCACCACAGCAGCAACAGCAACAGCAGCAGCAGGACCACCACCACCATCACCGCCAACACCACCAACGCCGTCAACAACAATAACAACAGCAGCACATGTCAATATTTTAACGCTCAGCCACAAGGGAAGCTCGATTGCTGCCACATGAACTGTTGCTGCTGTTGCTGCTGCTGCTGCTGCTGCTGCTGCTCGCTTTCATTTGCGGCAATTGGAGTCGTGGCGTTATTGATGTGTAAAGTGGATGCCGTTGTTTAATAAAATTAAAACACAAATTTAATATTGCCTCCTGCTGGGCGCTGATTTCGCACGTTTATAACAGCAACAGCAGCAGCAGCAGCAGCAGCGGCAACGGCAGCCAACGACGATAATAATAATAAAAATCATATATATTATTAATATTGCAAGGCAATGCATATATTTCGCGCTGCCTGGGCTCGTCCTCATTTGCCTTTTGGCCAGGCAGCCAGAGTGCAAATGTCAACTGGCTCATTATCAGCCCGGATAGTTAGTTAATGTGACTTCGAACAATCTGCGTGGCTTTTGCCTCAAAGCTGAAACGAGAAACTTTTCGCCCGCTGAGAGGGGAGGCAAGGGCTTTTGGCTGAACTACTTCTAGCACGCTTCCTTTCTATAATCATAACATGGCAATTTTATTCAATTTCCTGCCTTTTGTGTGTGCCACGGGCAGATGACGACGCTGAATGAATGCAGGCTGCCAGCGGGGGTAACAGCTACAAGATGCTCTGTAAAAAGGAATTTCAAA